GGATTGGGTGAGCGGGTATGTGTGAGTTGAACCCCCATCAAGGGCAAACCCATCACACTTAATTGTTTTATTTCTTTATACTATTATCAAAGTTGTTGGTACTTTAGAAATGTTAATTTAGATGAGGCAATGTGGACTTACTCTTCAGCAGCCTTTGCTTAAAAAGAAAACTGTTACCACATCTATAATGTTAATTTAGGTGTAGAGAGGAGCAGAAAATATGAATCCACTGAGTCTGTCTTTCCCTCTGCAACATGACCAAAAGTAAAACAGGATTTGGTCAATGATTCCCAATTAACTAACATCATATAAAACTTGTGAATGACATATTCAATGGAAGAGGCTCTAGTGATACATCCCAAGCACACAGGAGATAACAGGGTTCCCATCTCCTGGGGCAATTACAGCTTCCAGCAGAAAACAATGGCTATTAGTCATGGCACTATGTGCAAAACTGCACCCCATACCTGGGAGAAAGATAGCATGGGTCAGCTGAGATCTGGCACTTAAAAAGCTTATATTGCCTCAAGTGACACTTGACTTTGTACATAGTTAAAATTAAACTCTTCCGTAGTTCTAAAGCCACTACCTGGCAGCAAAGGAATTGCTAGGAAAGTTAAAAACAAAACAAACAAAAAAACAAAACAGGAAAAAGTCCTGAACCAACAGCAATTAACTCTGAAGGTAGTTAGGAAAGTATCAGATTAAAATTATAATTTGCCACAACTGCTCCTTAAGAAGAATGGGGTTTTTTTAGTAATTCTATTTCTATATGATTATTCCTTTCATTACTCATTGTACTGCTTAGATACCATGATCTAGATCAGAGAAAACGGTGGCTTGGCTTCCTAGCAAAAGCAGATGCGACACAAAAACCACTGTAAAATCTCTTTGACAGAGGGAACAATGAAATATATCAATGAATTAGGAAGCCATCCTTGCTGTAGCCTAAAGTAATCTATGTGGGGAATGAGCAAGAAAATCTGGTTTAGTTCTGTTTAGCTCAGAACAGGGAGGTAATCAGTCAGAAATAAGTGCAGAAAAAAACAGAGCTCTTCTGACCAACATGGGACTTCTAGCCACGTAGCTAGTCCTAACTGATACTGTTCTGGTTATACTGAAGCTAAAATCTGCTAGCATGCAAAGATTTAGTTCACTTTGAATGCATCACTTGTGTTGGAAATAGTATGCTGATGTGATGTCTGTTTCTTTAGAGAGAACTAGAGGTAAAACTAAACTTCTCTTTTGTAGTTTCTGATAAAGTCTTCGATGCCAAAAAGCCACACTGAGTGAATACAAGACACACAATCCACTTCTAGTCCTCATTTAATGAATTCAGATACACTGTGAAGCAAGAAGTCCCTCAACAGCACAGTAACAGACTTTTTCAAATTACTAAGGTATTGTTCTATGAAGTGACTTTCCAAAAGTGGGATTAGCTGATGACCACTGGTAGAGAGGTTTATTTCTGGGCAATCATAGTCATTGCCATAATTTTCTGCAAAAGCTAAAAAAAAAAAAAGCTGCCAAATTACCTTGATTTTATAACTAAGCCTTTTTGGAACTGCTGAAACAACAATTCTTAGACACTTAAAGAGGCATTCCAGATACTGAAGCACCCCAAACTGCAGGCCACACTTGAAACTCCAGAAAATAACCTTACCATGGAGACTGTACAGGTATTAGTGAGCACAGCATTTCATACAATATCTTATATCTCAAAATAATAAATAAAAAATTAATTATTCCAGAGGCAAACCTAGACAAATTTTCACATAAATGTTTAGCAGGAAAAAACAGACAATTATTCTGAGGAGCTGTTATAAAAAAGTTAAGTTTGTCTGTATTTTAGCCAAGCTATATAGAAGCTCTACTTTAAGGACAAGCAATGCAGGCTGGAATACATGATTGCTGTAAGTCACTTCTTGATAAAAAACTAAGGAGCTTTGTTTCACAATATGACTAAAGCAGAATAGCACTGGGAAAACTGCCTCAGGAAGTCTACACACAATATAAATCATAGTCAGATTTTCCATACCTTTCTAGACACAGGAACTCCTAAAATATCAAACCAATGTGACTAGGAGTTGAATACTCAGCCAATAAAAGACCCTGCAGACGTATTTCTCAAAACAGATGTGTAAACTATGTATATTGCTATCTACATCTATCTCTATATATGTGTATATTTTATAAGAAAAACAGAAGTATAGTCTCTTAATGAGATTTCCTGGAAAAAACCAAAATAAAAGCTAAACTAATTCTCACTAAAAGCTACATAAAACTCACCATAATTTCCAGTAAGAGAAAAAGATCAGGAATAACAAAGATGCCTCTTTGTCTCTTAGAGCTTGCTGCTCAACTCTTAGCCTTGCAGATAGTTTATTTGTACGTGGCTATCTCTGGAAAGATTTCTACTTTGTTATATCTACAGGCTAGTAAGTAATATGTACAGAAATCTATGGGTCAATGCCATTATTATTCAATTATATGCATAAAACTTTTTGGTGATGCTCAGACAATGCTTGTTACAGTGAAATTATATTTTTGACAGAGATTTGCAGTACATTGTATAGTACAAATATTGTAATAATAATGGTATTAACATATTTCATTATTATGCAATTATATGCATAAAACTTCTTTTTGGTGATGCTCAGACAATGCTTGTTACAGTGAAATTATATTTTTGATAGAGATTCGCAGTACATTGTATAGTACAAATATTGTAATAATAATGGTATTAACATATTTTTTCACCCAGCTTTTTCTTCTTCACACATTGTATAGCTCTAACAAAGTACTTGAAGAAGTATTTCACACTTAACACCTGTGTTGTACACCAGTAGGCAGCATTTTTTCTTACATTTTTAAAGAAGGGGTATCTCCTCATGCTCTTTGATTGAATGGGCTGATGCAGGGTCAGTGGCACAAACAGGAGGCTTTGCGTGGGCTTCAGTGAACTAGGGATCAGGATTTGGGACAGAAATGCAAGATCTCTGTACAAAAGTGCTACCCTCAAAAATATCTTTTTTCTGTTACCAATGTCAAGGATTTCAAATCAGTTATCATTAACAGCAGACATTAATCTTACAATTATATTCTTATGGTAACCCTCCCTGAATTCAAATCACATGGTGTGACTCACTGACCACTGACAAAAGAAAAAGCTCAAACCTTAATTCACACAATAAGGCTTGGGTCCCAGGAAACATGTCTCCCATCATGCATTCCATTCAGAATTTCAACATCGTCTTCTGCTATTGTAAAATCAAATACCTATGGGAATGCATATACAGTTAACATCATGAACATAGAGAGAATCAGGAGTATTTCTGTTAAACTGACCAAGATTCGTTTAAATATAAAGCAGAATTTTTCTGTATTTTTCCTTCTGGAAATTCTTCTTATATTTTGTCATAGATAAATACTGCATTAAGCTGACAGGCTCCACTGGGTCCTTTGCTCCTTCTGTGACTCATTTTTATTTCTAGACTCTGTTAAGATGGTTTTGTAGCACTCTGGCCCCAGGCAAGGGTCCAAGACAATGGTAGTATCAAAGCTGTTTTTGACAGCACTCTATATGGTCAGTGCCAGAGGTATATGAATACCTTGACTCCAACCCCTCTGTAAACCTGAGCTCAGTATTTCACTTATATCCCAATGTTCAGTTTAGACTGTTAGAGTTTTTTTCCTCAGAACTTTAGCCAAAGAGAATTATTAGAAGGTATCAGGACATTCACAAAGCTAGCAAACCAAAGGCTATATCTATCTTTTCAATGTGTACTTAGACAAAACACTCGTGGATCAGCTAAAACAGAAAAAGATACAGTGCTATAGTGCCTCAATACGAACTCGAACTTGAAAGCAACAACCTGTCTTCATCCCTAGGCTCTTACAGCCAGCGACTTCTCCTGTGGTGACACCTGCAACATGAATGACGGTGTCAGAGTTTTCTTAGCAGGTGTCTTATTCAGAAATGTAACACTTCAGAATTGAAGTTGCTTTAAGGTGGTCTGTTGTCTTTGTCAGAGCTTCTCTATACTCAATAAAAAAATCCTGTGGAGCCTGAGCTGAAGCCAAATGAGCTCCTCCCATCCTGCATTATCCAGCAATAGCTGTCTGCTGGAATGACCCTTGGAGTCAAACCTCAGTGCTCAAGCTTTTTAAACCTAAACCAGGTACCAGTCACAGAACTAGAAATACTATATATTACATTATATACTGAGGGCTTAATGAGGTCCCTGCTTTTACCAACTTGACTAGAGGTGGTGGAGAATCAGGCCAACACACTGACATGGCAGACAAAAAAAAAAAAAAAAAAAGAGATGTGATTAACAACATCTGATAACTGTGTTAGTTCTCCCCTACTGCTCTCCATCCTAAGTTCTTTATGTTTTGCTGCAACGCATTCCCTCAGTTATGCAAAATGAATTGGTGGGGCCATAGAGGAAACTCTGTAAAAAACAAAATTAATCTGGATTTAAAATATCATTGGGAAAAATAAAATAAAAAGAATAAGGAAGGATTTTATCCTGGTTTTATTCTCTGATCTGGTTCACAATACAGTACCACAAACAGCTGTGCTTGTACCACAGAAGGCAGCGTGCACGTCAGAATAAATAGTCAAGGCAGGAGCTACACAAATAGGCATAGCCACCAAGAGAAATACACACACACACACACACACACACTGATTTAACTAGCAGACAGAAGTTTCCTATCTTCTTACAAAGTTTCTTCCTGATTTGCCAAACAGTTCATAACCCTATGATATTTTTGGAAGTAACAATAAGGTTGTTGTGGTTGCCCCTCCCCCAGAGAAAGCACACTTTCAGATCAGAGAAATGGAGAGAAAAATGAAGTAATGATTTAAAAACATTTGGTGTGAAAAGGAAAAAAAAAGGCAGGGGGAATCACACTACTCCCCACTTTTCTTTGTCCGTCCCCTTCACACTGGGACCTTCTCTGCAAGTTGATTAGAAGGAAGAAGGTAGGGGAAGAGTCAGCTCTGGCAGGACTGTGATTTCCTTTGAAGGTCTCTATCTGTGATATCTCCAAGAGAGTTTTACAGCTTTCATACAGTGTTATGCGTAGGATACAAGCTCCTTCCATTTGATCTATATGCCTATCATAAAAAGGACCTAACCATAACCAGATTAGGATGTTCTACAATCAGCCAAGGATTAAATAAAAATATTATTAATAAACTATGAAAGGTCTTTCTATGGATGTCTTTTTTTATACATAGTGATTAACTCTCCAGTTGATTTCTGCCATTTGCAAATTATGGTTCTCTACTACATTGTAGTAATTCATGGTACTATAATTTGCCAATTTTAACTGAGTTGCCCCAATATAAAACTAGTATAGGAGAATGGGCAGGCAAACCAAAGTATTAAAACCAGTAATTCGGATGTTAGTCAGACTTGAGTGCATAACCAAATCTTACCTTGCAGTTTTCCTGTATCCTTTCTGCTTTTGTAGACTTCGGAATAGTGACAATCCCATTCTGAAAAACATAATGCTTCTCATCATTAAAAATTACATAGTTTCAAATAAAATAATCTCTCTTCTAAACACTTCAAGGTTTTAATTCATTCATTTCAAATAATTTCTGAGGTTTTAATTTCATTTCTCAGAGGACAGTGACATTTCTATATGCTATTTTTAATTGCAGTTATACAGTGCATTAAATTCTAAAACAAATTACGTTGTTTATATCAACTTAATACACTATTTCACTGCTTAGTACTTCATGTTGAGTGATAGAAATTGATTGATGCCCCACACTGCTTGTAACATTTACCTTGAAAACACTTTTTATTGGTGGCTCTTTTTCTCTGCAATCAGATTTTTTTCATATTTAGAATACTGCCATGCTTTGTGTACTACATTCCATATTTCGAGTACAGCACAGTTAGTTCATGTGATATCAACATACTGAAGGCAAAAACACTTTCTGTATAAATTGTGGTTTCATGTACAAAACCCAAACTATTTGAATTTTTTTCCATGTTCTTATTACCACCCTCCATTACCTGTATACTCCAGCGTATACAAATCTGTGCTGGAGTTCTGCCATATTTCTTTGCCAGCTGAATGATGCTAGGATGAGTGAGTGCTTCACCTTTGGCTAAAGGACAGTAGCCTTCAAAAACAATATCTCTGCTCCTACAATAATCCACCAGCTCCTGAGGTCTTTGGAGAGGGTGGTATTCAACCTTAGACAAATAAAAATAAAAACTTTTAGTAAAAACCTTGAGAGTACATTTAGTAGAAAACATCATTGATGAATGAAAATATATTTTCTTTTGTTTTAACAACACATGAGTGAAATCACCGCTTCTAGGAAACAGATGTAAGTTACCAGTTTTAGAAGACGCAATGAAGGATATTAATCCACAAGTATTTTGCCATTAATTGGCACAATAGTTTACTATGTATTTTATGCTTCCCCCAGAAGTAAGGTGCATAGAGCAGTTGCCTGCCCTACCTGCAGCTGGACTCCCACTCCTGTTCTTCTCAGTGTTTGAGAAATGTATGTAAATGCAGAGTGGAAGTCAGCATTAGGTCATTTTTACTGGTGATTTGAGACAACCTTCTTTTCCCCAAATCTACTTCCTTTCCTGTTTCTTCACTAATGGTCTTTAGGTTGCAAAGGCAAGGGAAGGGCGCTGGGCAGGGACTGGGTTTCCAAGATGAAGTTTGCTCAGGATGAGGGCCTGACCTCGGAAGAAAAGCCTGTTGGCATGGATTGTACATGGAAAATCCTGTATTGTGTGTGTGGTGTGACCAACTGCTTATGCGGGGAAGCAATCACGCTGTGGAATGAAGTGTGAAGGAGATCGTTTGTAGGAAGGAAGATCACAAACTGCCAAGAACCAGTTAAAGGAGGAAAAGTAACAAGCTACAAAGACATAGTTGTTGGAAGCAAAAGGAAACAGAAGTTATTGGAAAGTAAGGATCTCAGAAGAGCCACGTATTCTGGCATGTAGCAAAAGCCAAAAGAGGACCTCTGTAGTATTCCTTATTATGTTATTTAAATAAGTATTTCACAGTTCATACATTGTAAAAAGCATACCTTTCTGTACATTCAGATGAAAATGGGTGGTGTTTTCTTTTACAAAATACATAACCATATGATGTATTTTTGTGACTGGCCGTCACCACTGTTCCAGTGATCTAACTCTTGCGCACTTTGAAGAAAAATACTCTTCTGAACAATTACCTCAACACATGGAATCTGGAAAATTTCTTCTGCCACAGAGAGGAAAAATGAACATTTCCTGTTTCTCATCTTTAGTACACGTTGTCTTTTCAGACAACAATAGTTGGGAACAATAGGCTGGCAGTCATTCAATATGTGCTAAGAAAAAAACTGTGCCCCTCGAAGGCTGGGCTGAGTCAGCCTAAAGCTGCTATGATCTGAATTACTACGTGGATTTGGGAACAAGGTTCAAGCAGCAGACACATCCATGTCTTCAACCTTTGATGTTTCTTGACCTTTGAGTAGCCTTTGTATTTCACGTTTATATGTGTAAGACCAGAGTTTAGGTCATACAGTTATTCACTCGTTTGCACCTGAGCCAATTCGAAAATATTCTCATTGTTTTAACTCAAAACTACAACGTGAAAAAAGAAAGAGCAAGTAGGGTGTATTACTCTGTTATTACAATAGTAATAAGCGATTTTAATAGATGTTCTTTACACTAAGTGTAACTAACAGCACAGCCTAGAAAATGTTAAATAAAGAACGATGTATTAAGGATCAAATGCTGAAAAATCCGCAGTATCCCTATGGCATCAGGTGACTTATCTGGCATTTATTAGTAATACAACTGCAAGCAGAATTTACCTGCTGGTCTAATAAAATTTCCAGGCAGCACAGTTCCAGGTTACACCAGAAATATTTAAAGCAAGAACAGCGTGCTGAGATGTCACCTGCCTGCTTCACAAGCAGAATACAAAGCAATAACTACTTCCCACCTGGAAAGATTTTACTTTGTGCCTTTCACTGGAAATCAAGAGACTCGCAAATTTTGGCAACTGAATTTTAGCAGATGCAGTTGTGTGCTGGTAGCAGCACATATTTTTCTTCTTAAATATATTGCTAAGATAATCAAATGATAAAATATAATAAAATAACCACTTTTGAATTTATTTTTCTTCCTGAAAACTTTCTGGAAGGTTCTAGTGGCATCTGGATGCAAGGGACTAGCATCCTGAGCTAGAGAAGGTATAGGGTGAGCGGTAAGCATGTGCTTCCCCTCAAAATAATTCCCACTTCCTGGCTTGCCCCACCCTTGCTATTTTAGTCATCAAACTTTTCTCAGGCAAGGGTTGTCTGTCATATGGTGGTAGAGGAAGATCTTGATCTTTTCTGGAACTCGACCCTGAGTGATTTGTGTGTAAAAATTGGCATTTGTTTAATAAAACAGTTTGCAGTTCACATTACAGAACTCTTCACAGCTCCTACTTGGTCAACCATGGGGAACTCTTAAATGAGCACAGTTTTTATGACAGTCATAGTGTAATGGGGAAAAGTTGAGCCTAATAACAATCCTGACACACAGACCTAGAAAGTCATACCTCAGATGATGGTATACAAAAGCCTTACTCTTTCCACTCTGCTGCGGGATCTTCTCACCTGGTAAAGTTTTCCTGCATCTGGATTTCAGTCAGTTTCTCAATGGGAATGCACAGTCTCGCAATTATTTCTCCCTATAAACTGAAATAAAGCTGAAAACTAAGCCTAGAAATGTTTTTTCTATAGAAGAACAGTTCACCTGAGTTTATATACAAAGGGTTTGTTTCCTAATGCCTCAAAATACTAAAATACATTTCCACCTTGTAGAAATTTACATAATAGAGCTCAACATTAATGGCAATATTAATAACATTACAAAATCTCCCTGAGGTCATTATACAGTAATTGCACTTCTATAAAAGTAGAAGAAAATATTGATGAACATTCCTACATGGAATTCAGAGAGGAACAGTTTATATTTGGTTTCAGTGTACTGCTTTATTAAATGAAACATATATATTAATTAAATTCTTATAAAATGTATTTTTTTCCCCTAATAAGTGACAGACCTAAGAGCCTTCAAAGAGACTACAAAGACTTCCTTCAGCATAAATCTAAACTTACTACTGCCAAGTCAACTACAAACTCTGGAATACAAACCTGTAACTTCATGATGCCAGAATAAAATATTTCTCATCATTTTACACAGTGTTTGACAGTATTTTAAATTGTAGATTGTAATTTTAAAAGCTGCCAAAAGGAACCAAGAAGAGAGGCAGTACTTACAACTTGGGTTTGTGAAGCAGAAGCATTGCTTACTGCCTGGTTTACAAAGACTATAAAAGCCTAATAAAGAACCTCCTTTATCCTGCCTCCCTACTTCCCCCTCTTCACAGAAAAAAAACCCCACCTTTCAATTTTAACATCGTAAGAACTGTTAGAATTGTAAGAACATCCTAAATTCTTTACGCAAACCTAACACAGCTGAGAGGGAAGTTATTTTCCTTCACTTGTTTCTAAAATATTTAGACTTTTCATAAAATGATTGTTTGCAAATGTTTTGTATTTAGAAATAAGTTCCTTGAAAGAGTACGCAATTTCAGGCATAAATACAGCAAAGATCTTTTGTATTACAAATTCTGGAGAGTGAAATAAGAAATCAACATAGCACTTCCACTCCCAATTTAAATTTAGAATTCATTAGTTATTTGATAATACTTCAGTAATCTCATGATCAGACTCAGCAACTCTGACACTAAGCAAGAAATAGAATAAATACTCTTTTGAGGATAACTTGAACTAGAGTTTATAAGATTCCTTTAACTCTAAAAAGCTTAAATTAGTGCTATAACAAAACTGTTCAAAGTGGAGCAGTTTGCAGTGGCATGGATATTTCGTTGTCGGAACACTGGAACAATGCTGTGCATCACCTTAACGAGACGACTATCTGAATAGAACAGGGGCACCCTCCCACCCCTCAGTATCACTAGTGTCTCAACTGTTTGTCTCCTCTTTTTCAGCCACAGAAAAAGAGAGGCTGTCAAATAGTATCAAGAAGCAACTTTTCTCCATTAACATTATTGTCACAATAAGACTGGTAACATTTTGACATTGCAGGTAAGAGGAAATTTCAAAACAAATCCAAGATTACTTTTTTTTTTTCCCTTTACTAGGACACTGAAAGGCTCATTTAACAGACAGTAATGACTTATGGCAAACTCCAGTAAGACTTTGAAGATGTGTATTTCTGAAAAAGAGACACAATTAAGCCTTGGCAAACTCACAGATTCTTAAACAGTCATCAACTTGCCCATCTTAAGAGATATTTCAATGGCTTATTTTGAATATTCAAACTTAAATATTTTTTATGGTTTTAGGTTAATTTAACATTATTCATAATTGTCCTTTAGTAACCTTTAGTCTAGTGGACAGCAAAAACCAGAGATGTTAGGTTCTAACCATCACATTCTGACCTTTTTATGGCTGTTTGTGACATTAAACCACAACCAGCTGCCAGAAATCCTCACCACCTGTACAAAGGGGAAAAGCATGCACCTGCACTTCATCCATTCCAGTGCCCAGTTCTGTGTCAGCATACGCACACTTTCACTGGCAGGAGGTGGTAAGAATGGGAGCATGAACTTCCAGCACAGCTGTGGGCAGAAAACTGTGCCAAGGGAATAGTTGTCAGTGTCCTGGAAGTCTGCCGGTATGTAGGTGGCTATTTTTTATCCTCCTAGGGCAGCAAGAAAATTTTTCCAGGGCTCTCACAGCACCTTCCTAAATGAGAAGTTCACTGACTGTAATGTGATCTTGAAATATGAATACAAAATAAGGGGGGGAGCAAGGGAAACAGCACCCTTGTATGGATATGTAACTACCCGAGGCTTTCAATGTTGCTTAGAGGAATTACCTATAGTGTTTGAATACAGGCTCTCTCTAAAGCTTTGTTCACTCTGGAGATGCTAAATGTTCAGTGCTCCTTGAATTTTATTTCTAAACTGTTTTATCATCAAAAACTGTTACATGGACCATTTGTTTGTGCCTTTAAAAGCAGTAGCCTGGGAGTAACTGGGGAAAGAAAGGAGGAAGGACTCCCCCCCAATTCAGGTCATCTTCCTGAATGGTTTTCAAAACGTATATAGAAATGAAAGAGAAGAAATTGTATGACTAAGGCTAGTTTGGGTGTAGTCTTTCAAGCACAGCAGTGGGGAGGAGATTATTAACCAGAAAAACCAAAGCAAAAACCCAAAGCCAGATACTTTAAATATATTTATCCACTCACCTGATTAACATGTGGAGTAATCACACAGTCTTCCTCTAGTTGCTCAAGATGACTGATAAGAAAGTTGCTTACGCCAATTGATCTACACAAACCTAATGAGAAACAGAACAAGAAAAAGTTTTTGGCACAAACATAACTATTTGGGAGGACGACTTGAAAAATATCACTTTCAAGAGACAAAATGATTGTACATATCATTTCTATATAGCAAAATACTGCAGAGAATCACAGAAAAACAGCACTGAAATCTAGTTTGACAGTATTATCTGAAAGTGTGGTTCCGTCACAGTCACACTAGGAAATCATTTTATAATCTAAATACACTGGGAACTCCCCAGTGTATAAAAACTCCAGGCTAAATTCTGGGAAAGGCTAATGTAGAATAAGCAAAGAACAATTGGACTCCACCAGAATGAAAAGAAGGAAATGGTGTTCTGAGCAGCCTGCCAAAACTAAAGCGAAGTGGAACATTTGCAGAAGACTAATAAGGTGTGAGCAATACAACACAAGGACATGCAGCCCAAATGAACTATGAAGCACTGCCTATTTATCTATTAGATCCCTACAAAATAAAACACAGTATAGAAACTTTAATTAAGTGAGCAGTATCTAACAAGAACGAAGAAGCTTCAAAATGTAGCTAGTTTTCTCAGCTCCTGTTGACATGCAAATAACGTTAAATGGCACATAGGTGATATGAAGGTTATTTTTTTAAATAAGCCTTAAGTGTGCAAGCTGGTGTATAAATTAAGTATTGACAGTCCTGAAATCAGATGTCTTCCTTCAAACCTCAGATACGATAAAGCACAACTCCCAGTACTGGCCTGCCACCACACCTCAACCCTGACTCATCTTTGACAGTTTGGTCCTTATTCTGTGCTAACCACACAGGGGTCAGGCTAGTAGTGGTCTCCTTAGGCTGTGGGTTCTGTGGACTATGAATCAGACTAATTTCTCGCTAGTAGTGGTCTCCTTAGGCTCTGGATTCTGTGGACTATGAATCAGACTAATTTCTTCAGTATGTAAACTTTGTCATGATGTACTTGTCTTGATTGGCTTATCTACATTTCAATCTGTAACTCTACAGATGGAAAGTCTTTCTCAAGGTGTGCGACCACAAAAGTCCAATTACTGTTGTTAATCTAGTACTTGTGCTGGCCAATATAATGTATATGCATGTGCTTATCTATATACGTGCATACAAATATCTATAGCAAAATTAAGCCAAAAGTTATACTGTTTTTTTCAGAAAAAAAAGAAGTCATTGGGCAATTTCAGCCATTTGATGTCAAAGGAATGATTTCTGGACTGAAATTGCCCTCATTCCACAGTTAGAATTGCCACTTTTTCTTGAGGTCAGCAGGGAACTATGTGGAGATGCCTTGATTTGAATCTGGAATACAGACACATAAAAAGCACTTATTAATGCAACTGAGAGACATGAATACATTAAAAAGATGTTTCACCTGAAGCAAATGCTAAATGAAAATGTTGGAGAAAAATGTACTAACCAAGTACTTATTCCTAAAATGTATATGTTTTATGTATAAAAAGTAACTCACAGGTAGACTATAAATTAGCACATAAAAATATGAGCTATAGGATTAAAAAGTATCTTGAATGTGCAGGTTAGATTTACCTGGACAAAACAAAGAAATTAAATTTTTCTAGTCTTCTATGAAATTCTGTAAGTGAAGTTACAGTTTATCGCTAATTATTACAAATAGGTTGTTAAAGCCCCGAAAAAAACCAGTTTTGCATTAGCAAAGTCACTAACTATATAAATATAGGCAATTTGACTGCTATGTTGCTTTCATGTATTTTAGCAGCACAAGCAGATAAGATGCACACCAGCAAAACTTGCACACATACTATCACTTTTTAATGTGGTTTGTTTTGCAGAATACCAAAAGGAGAAAAAAAATACATTAGGAACTAAAATGCTAGACAGCTTTCCTTTACAGAAATCATCATTGTTCAAGAAGTGTAACATAATTAGGTTATAACCTGCACTCTAGCGATTTGCATAATTTGTATGTAATCTGCCAGAAGGAGCAAAATCCAAGCTTTTGACTTCTACTGAAAAACAGCCCTGGAGTGTCGACACTAATAAATCATTATGCCAAAGAAGTCAGAAAAACACTTGCAGTTTTAACACAATGGTGAACCAAAATATTATACTCCATTGTTGAAAGCTAAGGAGCTACAAAAAACATGATGTTATTGCCCTTGAAGAATAAAGGTTTTATTTCAGGCTGAAATAAAACACAACTCAATCACAGATATGAAAGATGAAAGGGATAACTAAACTTCTCCACTTCCACAGAAGGCTTCCATTTTTTTTGCCCTACAGTACTTTTAAGATGTTTTGCTTCTATAGTGTACTTCTCAGAGGAGGCTTTGAATTCTGTTCCATAGTCTCACTGCACTTACTGGTAAGTTTTTTGTTTATTTCCTATCAAGAAATTTCAGGTCAGTTACATTTTGTCTTAAAAGTCATCTAAGTTGCTCCTACTAAAACCAACATTATGGCATTCACGTGTTTAGAGTCATATCGCACAGAGAAAGCTAAATTCAAAATTGCCAAAAAAGTAATAAACATTTTCCCAAACAACAGAGAACTAATAATTAGAATTTCAATCTTTCTGTGGCACCAGCATTTTCTTAACACTTTTTTTTTTTTTTTAAGAGAATACAATCAAAACTTTTTTTTTTTCCATTAAATCCCCATATTTAGTTTTAGTAAAGTCAGAACCCTTCATTTCAACTTCATTGTTTTGTTTTTGGTTTCATGAAAGTCACAGTGTTTTGTATTAAGTTACAATATAAAATACAAATAATATGAAAACAATTGCACAGCCTGACTGTATTAAAAATCTTATTTCAATGCACGGTGGAAACATGAATTCAAAACACTGGAATTTCCTGAAAAATAGAGTCTAAATTTCAATGAACAACCAATGGATTCTACTCTAGAGCATTGCTTCCATATGCTTGATGGAAGATTAGCACAATTGCTCTGCATTGTCCAAATCTGGGAAAGACTGCCTTAAAGCAGGAGATTGTACAGAATTATTTCCACATTTACTTCTGCTGGATTATTTCCTAAGAATGAAGTATTAGAAAATGATGGACAAGAAAATGAAGGTCTGGTTAGTCCCTAGGCCTTATCCAACAGAGCAACACTTGTGACTATGTATATCAAACAAGATCCATGAAATTATCACATCAAGAGTAGAAATTAAAAAAATTACATATTGAGAAACTTCTGTAAAAGGGTCCTGACTCATTGCCTTACAGCAACTTGGGGGGGGGCACACTTCCTTCTATTTCCTCTCTCACAGAGCTCCGACAGAGGTAGGCTCCCCAGACTGTGCCACAGGTCTCAAAACCACCAGAATG